GGGGGGGGGGCAGCAGGCAGGCGAAGGCAAGCGGCACGCACCCTGAATGGTGGCATAGGCAACGTTGATCGGGTTGCGCGAGCCGTGGATCTTGACCGTGGCGTTGTCGATGCCGGCCATGCGGAGGATGTTTTCGGAGGTGGCGTTACCACGGATGCCGAAGCCGCGGGGGCGCGGCCAGGTGTAGATCTTGGTGGCGCAGAACTTGGTGAACACCGGGTGGAAGAGAGTGTAGCCGCCCTGGACATTGATCGGGACGGTGTCGATGCGGCGGTGCGCGCGAATGGTCGCACGAAGCATGGACGCCTCGGAATCCTATGTGGGCGCGCATGCCGCGGCATGGTGGCGGGCACACAGGCGGGGACGGATACCAGCGCAGGGGTCAGTACATCGGGCAGGGCAGGGCAGTGCCACTTGACAAGGCGGCGAGGGAGGGAGGGGGGGGGGGAAAGGACATGGCCGAGGGGTGGCAGCCACGGCGGAGGCATGCGCACCTGGTGAGAACCACTGGCGAAGCCGATGGCACCCTTGCGGTTGCCGACAGCAATGTGGTTACAGAAGGTGTTGACACGACCGGTCTTGGTCATGACGGCGGTGGAGCGCTCCTGTGGGTGGGTGGGTGGGGATTCCATGGGAGCAAGCGCGCGAACGAGCGAGCACGAAGAGGAGGCAGGGTGGGTTAGCCAAGGGGAGGGACGCAAAGGGGGCCACGCGCAAAGGGCGGGAGGGGGAGAGGGCGGCGGCAGGTGCGCCCGCCTCCCGGCGACAGGGCAGGGCCATGGCCGAGCGCCCGGTCCTCCTCCTGGCCCGATGTCGGGGCGGCAGCGCCTGGGAACGCACGTTGACCATGTAGTAGTTGAAGCCGAGACGCTCCAGGGCATAGGCAAAGGTGCCGGGGTTGAAGCCGAGCACCGCCTGGGCATACTCGTCGGTGGACATGACGCGCGGCGGGTCGTGCACGTAGCTGTCGATGTACTGGCGGACAAGGCGGTTGTTGCGGTGCTTGTTGGAGAAGTACATGGCCAGCAGCTTGTCATTGTGGTAGCGAGAGCCCTCCTGCAGGTGGGGCTCCTTGCGGTCGATGGCCTCGCGGATGAGGCGCTCCACCTCGGACGCGGTCAGCGTCCGGTCCAGGGTGCCGGTAGAGCGCGCGGCCTCGGTGTACACCTCGCCGGCGAACACCGGGACACCCTCATCGTCGGACTGGAGCGAGGGGTCCTCCTCGATGTAGCGGGACTTGCGAATGCGCCGGTCGATGTCCGACCGGACAACCAGGTCCGTGCTCTGGGACGCCTGCAGGCGCAGGACCGAATCGACCACCTGCTTGACGGCCTCCTCGGTGGGGCCATTGGCCAGCCGGCGCCGGGTCGGGTGGGCCAGCGAGTCGATGACGCCGCGCAGGCCGAGCTCCGAGGCCACCACCGGCGACACAATTCGCTGGAGGTCCTCCTGGCTCATATGGATGTTGTGCTGGCCCAGCATGCGCCGCAGGCGAGCGGTGAACGTGTCGAGGGTGATCTCCGACCGGTTGAGGAAGCCCTCGAGGGCGTCGTTCTCCGGGGCCGGGATGTTCAGGCTGCTGTAGGGGGCCGCCCGGCCGAGGGCCACTTCGCGCTGATAGAACTGCTTGTTGAGGGCCTGGAAGATGCCCACCGGCAGGCTGGGGAACTCGGCCTCGGCATTGTCGGTCGCGAAGTGCGGGTGCGCGGCCAGCTGGATGGCCTGCAGCAGGAAGCTCTCGCTGGCAGTGGGGTTGGCGGGCTGGAAGTTGCGCAGGTTGAGCGCCTCGACACCCTGGCGGAAGTTGCTGAACCCATACTTCTGGAAGAGGGCCTCCACCTCGGTCGGGGCGATGAGGGCCCGGTTGGCCGCGTCCAGGGCCTCAATCCGGCTGAACTCCTTCTTCAGCTCCTGCGAGAAGTAGGGCTCGGTCGGGCGGTTGTAGTTGGGCAGGTGCTGGGGGATCTCGTAGCGCCGGAGCCCGGTGTCGTAGAAGGCCTTGGCGTGGTCCGCAGGGAGGAGGTCCTGCAGCGGGTGGGGTGGGATGGGTGCAGGGGGGCGGGGGGGG